TATACCAGTCACTAGGACTAAATGTTTCCATGAATCTTTGGTTTTCTTCATTCTTCTTTGCTCTGGATGAGGAGAGACCCGTTGTTGCATCTAGGTGGCTGCTTGCAGTCTTTCAAGATCCCTGTCACTATTTGTCAGTGGCAGAATTCTTGCCTTTCATGTGGGAGACCCAGGTTTGATTCCAGGCCAGTATGCTTCAAATAAAGCCACTACTCATCTGTCTGTGGAAATGTGTGTTGCTATTATGCTGAACAAGTTAAAGTGGAGCTTCCAGACTAAGAACACTGGTGATCTACTTCTGAAAAATCAACCAATGAAAATCCTACAGACCAACAGTGATCTGATCCTATTGTGCATGGAGTCACCGACTGACTTGATGGCAGCTAACAAAAACAGCATCAAGTTATTCAAAACATCATCTCATCATGCAGACTGCTGAAGCTCTGCCAGGAGCAGATTTGGCACTGAGAGTCCCCACAGGCTGCCTTCTGGAGGAATGTCTGCTAAACTTCTGGAGGGTGCTGGCTTGTCTTGCTATAGTGCCTTTTTTCTTAAGCTTCCTAAATCCCCTTTTACCTAATTGCAAGCAGGGTTTTTTGATTCCTACTTCATATTTCACACACTAAATTTTTGTTTCCCAGGTCCATTTATCATGGGTGGGTCTTCATTCTTGGAGGCAGTGGGAATAAATAGGATGCTCTGGGGCACCTTCGAACACACCTCAGCTACATATAAGCTGAGACCACATACCTTCCTTCTTGGTTTGATGATCGGTAGGACCTTCCTTTGAGCATTCTGAACACATAATTCACTCATTAACTAAATATTGAGCACCTACGGAGTGCCAAGGGATGAGCCCTGGTGGTGCAGTGGCTAAGTGTTTGGCTGCTCACTGAAAGGTCAGCTGTTTGAAACCACGAGCCGTTCCACAGGAGAAAGATGCGGCAGTCTGCTTCCATAAAGATTTGCAGCCTGGAAAACTCTATGGGCAGTTCTACTCTGTCCTATAGATTGCTGTGAGGCAAAAGTGACTTGATGGCAATGGATTTGGTTTGCTATATGCCAGGCAGTGTTTTAAGTGCTGGAGAATAGAGCAGTGAGCAAGAGAGATCAAAATTTCTGCCCTCATGGAACTTACATTCTAGTGTATGTTGAATAGTGATAAATGCTAGAAAGGAAAAATAAAGCAGGGGCAGAAGACCAAGAGTGAGTGGGAATGAGGAGCTGATTTTTGAGTAAAGCCCTGAAGCAAAGTCAGGTGATGATGTTTTGGGGAAAACCATTCCAAGCCATGGGCACAGCATGTGGTGGCATGACTTGTTGAGCAGCACAGAGACTGGTATGGAGTATACCAGGGTCTAAGCATAGAGATGAAGACAGAGAGACATATGGACCCCTGTAGATCACAGGATGGACTTACATTTTGCCCAAGTGAAATTCACCAATCAAGATGTGTTAGAACGAGTACCAGCCCTGGAGTTCCATGCCTCCAGGAGGGGCTAGGGCTAGCAGAGGGTTTCATGTGGGGCAACAAATGCATGAACCAGAGGTACCTGCCACACCATCCCCTGCTGCTGCTGCCACAGCTGCCTTACCCTCTGTTGTAGTTAAGGTTGTGTGTCAACTTGGTTGGGCCTGGTTGAGTGGCTGGGCAGCTGGTGGTAGTTATTCCCCATGTGAGGCTGGCAATCAACTCCATGATGGGATCTACCACAAGCAGCTGAGTAGCTGCTTTAAGGATGTGGTCTGCTTCCCATATATAATAAGCTGCTTTGGGAAAGGTCTCTAACTTATGGCACACTTGAACCCTGCGTGTGGCTGAATCAGCAGCCTACCATGCTCTGCCGATCTTGGGACTTTCAGTGGACTTGAATCAGTGGTCTGCTGTGTTGTTTGCTAACATTGGAACTGTGCCTTTGTACTTGTCTGCCTTGGGTTTGTCAGCCTCAGCAGTCAGTAGCTGCCTGAGTGAAGAAAAGCCTCTAGCTTCAGTGGGGCGGGAGCAGGAGGCAGAGCTGAAGCCCAAGGTTGAGGGGCTTCCACCCAGCCCCTAGAGCCTGGCACTTGGAACTCGAACTTAAAGCCTCCAAACTGTAAGAGAATAAACTCCTGTTTGTTAAAGCCATCCCATTTGTGTATTTTCTGTCAGAGCGGCACTGGGTAACTAAAACAACCTCCAATGCAGCAACCTTCCTGACCTGCAGAGTTACGAGCTAAAAGTCCCTTGGGGTACAGATCCAATCTGAGCCAGCTTGACATCTCTTCTAGGTGCACCCTTAGTGAAAGTAGCTGAATGAATGTTATTTCTGCTGTCATCATTCAGGTCCATATATGGTTTCCTCACTGGTGTGGGAACCTCTGGAAGGCAAGAGCCAGATCTTCCTTCCAATCTTTCACCATCAGCTTCTGCCCTAGGGCCAGCACACAGACAGTGCTGAAACTCACAGTGGACCTCTCAGGTGCCAGGCCCTAGCAAGACACTGAATGTGCTACAGAAAGATGAGTAAGTCCTTGCCACAGCTGTACAAGGCTCAGGAGGAATTTGCTCAGTTACGCCATAGTATACTGTCTTGACTCCACCGCCATGTTCCTCCCACAGATGTTCCTCAAACATGCCATCTGAATGCTCACAATTCAGGATGTGCCCAGAGAAAGGTGCCTCACGTCCTGCCCTCCCTTGCTAGAGCCACTGACCATCCTGCTCTGGCAATGGAGACCCAGGACCAACCTCCCACCCCCAATCCATAAGAATTTAACCCCAATGACTTATATCTTAGTTTGTACCCAAGTTGGGGGCTTTTATTTACAGGAATGCCTAGGTGGAACCAGAGAAGGGGTGCCAGGAGGCTAGTGTCAGAAAGAGAAGAGAGATACGTGCTTAAATACTCAGATGGGAAGTAGGGAGGAAGTAGTGGAGCTGGCTTCAGGATGGCCACCTCAGGGTAGACACTCATCAGCAGTCCCCCAGAAAGTCCAGGAGATAGGGATGGGGTCAGGAACTGGCAGTGACCTCAGTCCACCTGCCCTGAAGGCAAGATGGTCAGTGAAAGATGGAACAAATCAAGGAGACATTTGCTAACATTTGAGCAGTGTTCTGAGAAGCAAAGCCACCCATTCTTGAGAGCATCAACTGTCCAGCAACACTTGACTTATGTTGGCCTCACATTTTCACTCTGATGCCTTCCCTTCCCCCATGTTTTAGAATGTCCTTTGCCTCAGAACTCCTGGGTCCCAGACAAAAGGTCCTAGGAAAACTAGTTTCCCGAGCTGGAGGGTGGGTTGCACATCCACTGAGAGGGGACCTGGTTCTTTCCCCCCAGGATGCCCACTGGGCTCTATCCCAGCCTGATGCTCATGGCCCCTTGATGGATCCCGGCTCTGTAAGGCGGGCCGAGGCATAGGCTGAGGCTCCAAGGCAGGCTGCAGGCTCACAGAAGCCAGGCAGCCCCACAGGGCCTGGCAGGCCAGGGCGGCCCATCTCTCCTGGAGCCCCTGGGGATCCTCGGTCTCCATCTTTGCCGTTGATTGCCTGGCCAGGCCGCCCAGGGAGGCCTGTGTAAAGGAGAAGATCAAGACATCAGGGCCTCCTCTGGTCTCTGCCCAAGAATCTTTAAGTCTCATATTTCAGGTGGGGAAAATGAGGCCAAGGACATCATAGGAGAAAGGGACTCTGCCCCCAGCCACAGAGATTCTATGAGAGTCATGTGCAATTGTCCATCACTCCCAACTCCTTATCAGTGAGCCTTGGGAGCAAACACCCCTTCCTTTCCCTGCATGAAGCAGATCAAGGTGCATCTCAGGAAGTTCTTGAGTTCAGTTCCCAGTTAGACCTCACCTGAGGCTCATGGCTTCAGAGGGATGTAAAAACTGGATTATCTGGGACGGAGTTGTCTGAGTGTGAGGCCTCCATGAAGGGACCCAGGTATCCAAGGTAATTAGATCCCAGAACTGAGGGGCAGAATTGTAGCTGGGCAGTAAGACCAAGGTCTTACCTGGGATCCCCGGGGGACCAGGCATTCCAGGGTGCCCACGTCCCATGTCTCCCCGATCACCTTTCTCTCCACGTTTTCCTGCAGAAAAAGAAGTGAGCCTTACTTTTTTTTGGTTTTTAATTTCTACTTCACACACACAACAATTACTCCTGTTTTGTGCCAGCTTAAAGAGCCCTGGTGGTACAGTGGTTAAAGTGCTCAACTGTTAACCAAAAGGTCAGTGGTTCGAATTCACCATCCACTCAGCGAGAGAAGATGTGACAGTTTGTTTTCGTAAAGATTACAACCTTGGGAATGCTATGGGGCAGTTCTACTCTATCCTGTAGGGTTGCTGTGACTCAGAATTGAAGAATTGACTTGAAAACAGTAGGTTAGGTTTTGAGTTTCTATGCTAGTTTCTTTCTGTGGGTTTTTTTGTTTTTTTTTTTGATACTTTACTTTTAACCTTATTTTTAACTTTGTATTATGAATTGGGTGAAATTTTACAATTTTGCTAGTTTCTGATAGAGGAAAGTTGGAAATGATCATGTAGGACTGCTATTTAAGGTCCTAGACATTGGAAGGAAGACTCCACAGCTGTTAAAGTTTATTACAGGAAGTCCAGGAGATGGGGATGTCTAACACCACCAGTCCACATCAGTTGTGGTCCAGTCGATTCTGACTCATGTGTGTCAGAGTAGAACTGTGCTCCACGGGGTTTTCAATGGCTCATTTTTCAGAAATAGACTGCCAGGTCTTTCTTTTGAGGTGTCCTTGGTTGGGCTTGAACCTCCAACCTTTCAGTTAGCAGCCAAACACATTAACCATACTCTTCAGGGACTCCAAATAATAGCACTGATTATGTGGCAAGCAGTGAACTAAGAACTTCATGGAAACCTCTCTAAATGGAATCCCAATACGATGAGGTTGGTACTCTTAATATTCTCATTTTACGGATGGTAAACCTAAGGCCCAGGGAGATTAATAGGTAACTTGTCCAAGGTCCACACCAAGAAAGTGGCGGGTCTGTGACTCTAGAGCCTGCCCCTCTTCACTACTTTGCTAACCTTCCTCTCCTCCTTGAGAGCATGGAAAGATGTTTATGAGGTAACACTAAGTGAAAACACAAACAATTCACGTTACAAAACAGTATGTTCATTTCCAACAATTTGCTACTGGCCAAGAAAGCCGAGGTGTACTTCCTGAAAAACCTGGTTGAGGGAAAATGGAGGCAAAATGTCTGTGTCTCATTCTAGGAAGAGGAATGGGAAACAGAGGCTGAGCAGTCAGCCAGCCTCAAGTTCCTGGTGGGCCTTGGCCAAATCCCCACTGCCCAGCCCCACTCCACCCCCACAGAATGGCACACTCACCCTTGGGCCCCGTGTTGCCAATCTGACCCACAGCTCCCACGATGCCGGGAATTCCCCGTGGGCCAGGGTGCCCATGGGGTCCCTGTATGCCTGGGTATCCGGGAGGTCCTGGGGGCCCTGGGGGACCCATCATTCCAACTGCACCCAGGGCTTCTCGTTTGGCACTCACAGCCACCTCTGCCAGTTGCTCTGGAGGGAGGGAAAAAAGAAGGGAGGTAGAGTGGTCTGTGAGATGAGTCTTACCTCCACATCAAACTGGGGGAGGCAGAGCATCCTGGTGGCCCCTCAGCGGGCAGAAAAGCCCTGAGTTTATTAGCTTCCCCCTTCATCAGGCTCTGTTTTACTGAAGCCAGAAGTCCAGAGAGGGCTGAGATTTATTACAGGTACCGTAGCTGCTTGGAGGCAGAGCTGGGTTGAGCAACCAGGACTCCTGACTCTCTGGCCTTGCTGTCAAGGCAACAGGGAGAGGCTCCTGAAGGACAGAGATGCCCTGAAATCAGCTGGGGCACTGCCCCTCCCCTTACCTTGCAGCATCTTCAGGACCACATCCACAATGTGCTGGTCACTGGCATCTCGGCCCTGAAAGCAGAGGGGTCTTTCAGGAAGAAAGCAAACCCCGGGTTGCCAGGGCTGACCACTCCTGCACCTGTGACCCCCTCCTGTGCCCACCTGGGAAGTCAAAGTGCAGGCCCCTCACAGGAAGTACTTTTTAGTATCTGAGGGAAATCCTTCCTGCTGTACCCACACCCATCCTCTCCGATCTGGGGCTTGGAACCAACCTCAGAGAAGCCAGCTGGCTTCAGGAATTCCCAGCCTTTGGAGATAAGCAGCACCTCCAAAGACAGTTCCTTCTTTCCTAGGGGGTCCAACTCACCGCCAGGCCCTGTCTCCCGGGCAGCCCAGGCACGCCTCTGTTGCCAGCCAGTCCTCGAGGGCCGGGAAGTCCAGGGTAGCCCTCTGGCCCTGGGGCTCCTGCATCCCCGCTGGGCCCGGGGTAGCCGGGTTCTCCACGGACTCCTTGCTGCCAGGAGGCGGAGGTGGGTAGAGAGGTGAGAAGGTAGGATGGGTGGGGTGCGGGGTGGAGGAAGAGGAGTGGCACGGGAGTGGGTGGTTCCTGGAGAGGAAGAGGACCCCAGGACAGGGCTGAGGGAAAGGGTGGGAAGGACTGCAGCGACCGGACAGCAGGGCTCACCTGTCCCTTGGGCCCCGGCTCGCCAGACTCCCCCTGCAGACACAAGGAACCACGGTCACGAAGTGCTCCGGCAGGAGGCTCACTGGCCACTCCCCAGCCCGCCCCCACGCTGCCTGCTCACCTTCTCGCCTTTCTCTCCCGGGAGGCCCGCCACACCCGGATCGCCCTGCCGAGAAAGAACAAAAGTCAGCTGGGCGGGGACGTGGGGGGAGGGGCGCGGCCGCCCACGTGGATACTTGGACCCCAGAGGGTGGCGGCGCCTGGCAGTGGAAGCGCTGTACTCACCGCTCCGCCGCGCGGCCCGGTCTTCCCCGGGGAGCCCTGCAGAAAAGGGGAGTGAGGGGTGTGGGGAGCTCCCTCTCCAGGGAAAGGCTAGCTGCACCGGCCCCTCAATCTGGCCACACCGCTCTCCCTCCCTGGCTCTTGCCTCCGGCACCTGACCAGACATCTGGGCCTCCCAGAGGGTAATTTGTTCCGTGCAGATTTAGAATGCTCAAGAGGGGGCTAACTGAGCTCCACGACCCCCCTTCACCCTGCTCCACCTTTCCCACCTTCCCATCCTCCCCACTCTCCCCACCACCTTCCCATTTTCTTACTCCCTTCCCCCCACCACAGGGTCTGAGGGGCTCTTTCTAGCCCCATTTGATACCTTGTCTCCCTTGATGCCCGGCAAGCCTTGGGGCCCTGGAATTCCAGGTGACCCCTGCTCTCCTTTGGGGCCCTGAGGAGAAAAGAAACCAGAGGGGATCAATCAGATGATGTCTACAGGGATGCTCCCACCACCCCAACCTCAGCTGGCCTGAACTCACCTGTCGACCTTGAGGACCTGGCTGCCCCACTGGCCCCCTCTCACCTTGGTCACCCTGAAATGGAAAGAGAGGGTCACACCCAGGCTCAGCAAGGATAGTCAGGCCCTAGACCCTGCATGGTCAGGGTGTCCTCCATTCCTGCTGTCACTATTATAAGGGTCTTTTACTTCAATCCATGGGCCAGCAAACTGAGGCTCAGGCTGGGGGGTAAGGGGGTGGGTCACATGGATTGAGAGAAAGTGAACAGATAGGTGTTGGAGCCAGTGAGAGGACCCAGATCTCAGATTCAGCAGTGCCAACAGCTGCAAAGTCCCCTAGGGAGGGACCACTGTGCTGGGCACTTACCTTCTGCCCCATGATACCCTGGGGACCAATTTCTCCTCGAGGCCCTGGCTCTCCCTGGGGAACAGAGAAACTGGAGGTAAACAGTAGTCCTGTCAGGACCCTCCCTTCCATACTTGGCTAGCTCCTGTCCACCCTCGGGTCTCAGCCTTCCCTGACTCCATGTTACATGCTCTCAGGTCCTTGTATTTTTCCTTCAAGAACTATGACCATTTTAATTAGTTGTTACATGATCATTTATTTAACGTCTGTCTCTTCTACTAAAGCATAAGCACCATATGAGTAGGAGACTATGTCTAGCTGGTATCTAACACAGCTGCAGGTATTTGGGAGTGTTGATAGAATGAATGACTCTATTGGATTCTCAGCCCCAATCAGCTTAGCCGTCTGGGGAGGCTATAGCTCAGGACAGAACCAGTCCCACCCTCACAGCGCTGTACTCAGAAATGGGGGCTCAGAGAGGAGGAGGGAGCATTGGTGGGTCAGTGGGTCAGTGGCAGAGCCCAGAGTAGCACCCAGCATACCTCCTAGGCTTGGGCTCTACCCCATGGTCTCACCCTGACCATGTGCTGAAGGAACTATTCAAGGTTCTCAGGCCTGGGATGGCCAAAGCAAGAGTCCTATGTCAGTGGAGTGGGCACTTACCTCTTTCCCAGGGGGACCAGAGAATCCAGGAAAGCCCTGCTGTCCTGGCTCACCCTACAGGAAAACACAGTTCTAAGGTCAGTCTGGGTGGCCCACTCAAGCTGGTAACCTTGGGGAAGCCCAATGGACAGTATACAGATTCTGGAAACAGGTTCTGATTCTGGGAAGAGGTGTTCTTGGCCTCTGAGTTCTGATTTTCCATGCCATGCAGTCTCCATTGAACTGAGCTGGCAGAGGGGTTACAGCTGTAAGACCCAGGGGGCTATGTTCAGGCTGAACTGTTGAACCTTAGATGAGGCCTGAGGCTTGTAGTCTTTAAGCCATGACCCAGGCTCCCTTGTACAAATGAGACTAATTTTGCCCCCAATTTGGGGGCAACTTTGTCACCTCACCTTATCTCCCGGGCCCCCTTTTGTCCCAGGCTGGCCTGGCACACCCTGCAGAAAGAAGTTGACGTCAGTTCCTATTCTGGCATGGGGTCCCTGTGCACCAGCTGCTTTGCCTCCATCCCCAATCCACATTTCCCCACCTTGTGGGAGCTGCGTAACAGAAGGCCTAGCCATTGCTATCATGAAGTTGACTGTGCCCTCCACCCCTGGCCTCCAGAGCCCAGGTGGGAGAGGAGCAGTTTCCAGAGAGGCCTTCCTACCAAGGTCTGTGATTTGTGGGGAAAAGATGAGCACACTTATGTGGTCACAGGCACACAGGCTCACACATGTACATGTGAGTGCATCCATGGGCACAAGTCTGCACACGAGAAAGCTTTAGCCACTCAGTACTCTTGGCAGGGAGGGAACGAAGACCCCTATGATGAGTTCTTTGAAGGTGAGGGATGGAGATGGTCTGAAAGGTGAGAAGGCACAGGGGCAGGGGAAGGCCATTTCAAGCAGAGAGAGCAGCAAAGGCAGAAGCCTGGAAGTAGAAAAGCCAAGGCACTTTCTGAGAGTGTTGAAAAGGGAGAGGACCTATGAGAAGGGAGAGGACCCAGAGGGGCAGTGGCTGATGAAGCAGGAGAGGTAGGTTGGGGTCAGACTGTGGTAGTCCTTGATTATCAAGATAAGTTGTAAGGACAAAGATTGCGTAAGTCTTGTTCATAAATAGTCCCGTAACTCTTAATGTACCTCAGGTACTCAATAACTATTTATTGAACAACTGGATTGAATTACTGTTTTAGGGAGGCAATGGGGAGGAATGTGCTTTAACAGGGAAATTATTAGATTCTATTTAGGCAGCATGGAGGGTTGGAATGGGCAAACAGAAGGCTGGAGCAATTGTCCAAAGGATGAGCTTTAAACCAGGCACGGAACACAGAGGTAGTGATGGGTCCTGGGCTGGGGACAGGGAATCCAGAAAGAATTCTGAGCGTGTGGAATTTAACCTCATCAGCCACTCATGTCATCACGAGGAGACAGGCACCAGGGAGGAGGAGAAACTTGCCTGTAGGGCAGGACCTGTGGCTTCATCAGACACTCACCGCTAGACCCTGGTGGCCTGGGTTTCCTGGCCGCCCTGCCTGTCCTGCACTGCCCTAGAGAGACAAAGAGCCAGAACCCCAAATTAGAGCTCCTGTGGTTTCCACCCGGGAGCTCTGGTAGCATAGTGCCTAAGGCACTTGACTGCTAACCAGAAGGCTGATGGTTCAAACCCATCAGCCAATCCTCGGAAGGAAGGTGGGGCAATCTACTTCCGTAGTGATACTGCCTCGGAAACCCAAGGAGGGGTCGCTATGAGTCAGGTCCGACTCGATGGCACATAACAACAACAACAACAACATGGCTTCCACCCAAGTGAAGGTAGGGAAACTGAGGCCTGTCACAGGAAACATGACACACCTGAGGATTCAGGACTCCTGGGCCTATGGGAGCAGTGTGACGGGGCTCATGGTCCTGAGTTGAGTGGGGCCCTGATATTTACCCCAATCCCACCAATAGCCCCTACTCCTACCTTCATGCCAGGTGTGCCTGGGGTCCCATCCTTGCCATCGATGCCTGGTGGACCCTGCTCAGGAGGAAAGTTCAGGGAAACTCACAATGGGGAGATGTTTGGGGTCAGGCCACCCACCCATGCCCTTCTGTGATAGTACATCTGGTTATTTTGTGAAGCCCCACTAGTCAACTGGGTGAGGGGAGCCAAAGTGGAAGGGGGATTACAGGGGAATCAAGGTCCTTCCCTTGTGTGGGTCATGTTCCCCAGATTGCTGCAAGCTTCCATTCCCATACATCATCATCCCTATTTTACAGGTGAAGAAACTGAAGCACAGAAGGGGAAAGGCATTTCCCAAGGTTATAGTGCCAACCCCCTGCAATAGATTCCCAGGCCCCTTGTAGAGGGGATTTGGACAAAGTTGTCTGTATCCTGTCCTGTCAGGTAGGCCTGGGTCCAGCACTTACAGTTGCTCCTTTCGGGCCTGTTATTCCCTGGAGTCCTCGAACACCTTGGCTGCCCTGCAGAGTAGACAGAGATGAGGTCACCTTCAGGACACTGAGCCTGTGAGGAGAGCTGAGTACAGTGACCTCTGGTTCTCAGGGTCTCAGGGTCCCTCACATGGCCACACTGTACAGGGACTAGAGGAGAGGGGCCCAGGAGTGCCCTTTCTGCCCTGGAACCAGCAGGAGAGATTAGAGGTCAGCTGGGCTGGGCTGGGCTAAGCTGGGGCAGGAGCAGGCATGGGGCCAGCATTCCCTGAGATCCCAGCCAACGCCCTGAACTCCACTCATGTCAAGAGACACAACAACTAAATGCAATGTGTGGACTTTGTTTGGGTCTTGATTTGAGCAAGTACTGTAAAAGGATATTCTTTGAGGTAATTGGGGGGAAAATGAACCCAGACTGGTTATTGTTAGGTTGAGCTGATTTCAACTCATAGCAGCCCCATGTGACAGAATGGAACTGCCCTCATGGGTTTTCTTGGCTGTAATTTTTACAGAAGTAGATTGCTGGATGGTTTGAACCACCAACCTTTTGGTTAGCAGTGAAGCACTTAACTGTTTGTGGCACCGGATTCCTGACTGGTTGGTACTTAACTGTTTGTGGCACCGGATTCCTGACTGGTTGGTTATTAGATGATGATAAGAAATATTTGTTAATTCTGTTAGGTTTAATAGTGATACTGTGATTGTATAAGAAAAAATAATTTTTAAAGACATACATACAGACATATCTGGGGTTAAATGACATGATATTAAGGACTTGCTTAAAATATCAGGACGTAACTATAACAACAAAGTGAAGGAAGGGAAAAAAGGGATGGATGGAGCGAGTATGGCAAAATGTTAATACTAGAACCTAGGAGAACTTATTCTGACTCATAGTGACCCCCATCGGGTTTCTGAGGCAGTAATACTTTAGGGAAGTAGATTGCCTCACCTTCCTCCCAAGGAGCGGCTGGTGGCTTTGAACTGCCAACTTTCTGGTTAGCAGTCAAATGCCTCGGGCACTGTACCACTAGAGCTCCTTTTTGAGTGAGTGAGTGAGGAGACAGGTATATGAGGATTCATTATGTTCCCTCTACTTTTGTGCATGTCTAAAAAAACACCCCAAAAACAGATTCATTGCCATCGAGTCAGATCCGACTCAGAAAGATCCCTCCTTGGGTTTCCGAGGTGGTATCTCTATGGAAGTAGATTGCCCAACCTTCCTTCTGAAGAGTAGCTGGTGGGTTTGAACTGCCAGCCTTCTGGTTAGCAGTCAAGTGCCTTAGGCACTATGCCACCAGAGCTCCCCACCAGAGCTCCAATAAAAGGCCAAAATCTAATAATAATAGATCAATAAAGAGTTAAGAGAGCTGGGATCCAGACCAAATCCCATTAACCTCATGAATGATTTGCTGGAATTTCATTGTCTGGCCCCAGGACTATGAGGCCAGATTCCATGGCCTCTCCCAGAGTCTGAATTTGGTCAGTAACAGGCTAGGCTTGGAGGAACAGGGGTTGGTGGGGCAAATGGGCAGCTGAGCACTAGACATAGACACTCCTCACCCGTAGCAGCCCCTGATACAGACACATAGTCTCTCTCTCTCACGTGTGCACACACACACAGCTGCCTGATAAGAAGCCTTGTCCTGTCTAGTACTCCCCTGGGGCCCTGACTGGACATGGGGTGGCTAAGGACTCACCACATCGCCCTTCTCTCCAGTTCGGCCTGGGGGCCCCCGTGGGCCCTCCTCACCCTGAAAAGAAGGACAAACAGGAATCCAGATTACGTAGGCTCAGAGAGAGTTGCGCTCACTTTGCAGAGCCAAGAGCCCAGGCTGGAGGAGGTGAGGATTGGGGTGGTCTGGGCAGGAGCAGACTTACTGGGGACCCAGCAGCGCCAACGGAGCCCACCATGCCTTTATACCCACGAGGACCCTGGGGAGAGGAAAGGGTTAGAGGTCAGTCACAGCTGGACCTCAGAGGCCAAGTGACTTCTGACCCCAGACAAATGACAGGTTACCCCAGAGGTCAAGGCAGCTCTTTCAGGATACCCCCAGACTAACTTACCATCTCTCCCTTGGGTCCTGCCATGCCAGGGTAGCCCCTAACACCCTGGGGACCCTGTCAAAATAGAAAAGTGACAGCAGTGGCAGTTAGAAGGCCCACTTCGTGATGTTTCTCAGACAGCCCCCTCTCCTCATCATCACAATGCCCCTCTGAGGCAGGCAGCATTGTCCTATTCACAGATGAGACACTGAGGCTCAGAGCTGGGATGGGACTTGCCACAATCATGCAAAGGGACAGGGGCAGACCCAGGACCTCAGCTGGGTCTCCTGGTTGACAGCCCCTCTCTCCCCACCCAGAGGCACTCCTAACTGGGCACAGGAATCTCTTTTATAAGTTAGAGCAAGGGAATGACTCCATAAGGAAGAGGGAGAGATGGCCTTAGTGGGGAAGTGGTCTTTACCGGTGGTCCAGGGATGCCTTGCTCTCCAGAGGCACCCACATCTCCCTTAGGACCCTAAGAGACAACAATGAACTCTCAGACAAGCAAGCTTATGGAGAATCAGATATACAGGCAGCCAAAGATACCATCCTCCTTCCCCACCAAAAGCAGACAGAAAGGACCCTTAGAAACCAGTCTTGTGTTACATATGGGGAAACTGAGGCTCAGCAAGGAGAAGGGGCTTTCCTGGCATATTGACCTAGAACATAGGCTTCCTTACTCCCAGCTCAAGGCTCTGTGACCCACAGGGGAAAGCAGAGGGCTAAAGGAAGGGGAGACCCCATAGGACCTTCTCCACATATTCTCCCTCCCATGGCCCTCGGCCCACATACTCACTGGCTTCCCCTGGCGGCCAGGATCACCCAGCATCCCACGTTTGCCTGGATGCCCCTGGAGGGAAGGAAAGAGCTCAGGATGAGGCCCACTCCTGATCATGGCTCTATCCTTTCAAGACTCAGCCAGCAGCTCTCACCTTCACTCCTTGCAGCCCTTGGGGACCTTTCACACCTGCTGGACAGTTGGTTGGACACTGGAAAACAAAATCCACAGGCCTTGTGGTCACTGGCCTGCCCTAGGCTGGCAGGGCAGTGATCCCAGCACCCCTTCTCCTGTAGCTGTCCTCCCACACCCACCATCTTGCCAACTCCTGAACTCTCTTTCTACCCCACCTGGCTGAACCCATCCCACTGACCCTATCTCCATGACAGTCCCTGTCCAACTGACCGCCCCATCCCTGCATTAGCTTAGCCCTAGGACCCGCCTCTCACCAGGAAATCCGCGCTGCCTTCCAGGCCATGGATGGTTCCCGGGCGGCCCTGAACAGAGATGTATGAAGATGGAGCCTGATGCGGCCCTTCCTCACCCAGGCTTGTGCAAGGGCCCTTTGCCATTCCCAGGACCGAGGGCACTTACCGGCTTTCCAGGGGGCCCTGGAGGTCCTGATGGTCCCTCTGGTCCAGGATCCCCCTGGAAGCAGGAGGAGCCCAAATCATACCCCTTTTCAGCCATGCCACAGTCACTCCTGCTCCCTCCTACAGGTCCTTCCATGCCCTCCTACCCTGCCCTCCAGGCCACCTCCTGAGAGACAGAGTCCTGATTGGCCTCCCTGAAAGCCCTGCTGCAGGGTAGGCTAGCAGGAGGGGCTTCCACTCCCTGGTGGCCCAAACCAGGCCTGAGAACTCTCATCTTGGAGGCAGAGAGCATGAGGCAGCATGAGGCTGGGGCTCACCTTGGGGCCTGGGATTCCAATCTCACCAGGGAGGCCAACAGGTCCAGATGGTCCCTGGGGAGCAGAGACTTCGATGACTGGGATGCCTCAGAGGGTCATCCCATGCCAGACCTGAAGGAATAGGCAGCAACAGGCACCAAAGCCCCCTTCTCCACTTTTGCTTTGTGACTAATCCCTAAGAAACTAGCCAATTTGGGCTTTAAGGACCAGAGAATTCCAGAGCCAGCATATAGGCCCAGGGGGGCTGGCCCAAGGTCTCTGGCAAGTCTACCCATTCTTGACACCATCACAACATGCTGCTCCCCCCACCCCATGATGGACTCTGTTCTCTTTCCCTTGAAGTCCTTGGGATCCTGCCCTATCCCTAAGGACTTACAGGAGGTCCAGCGAAGCCAGGGCCCTGGAACAGAAGAGAAGGGGATTGGGTTCACGGCTTCCTCCCCAGACCACCCTCCTCAAAGAGCCCCTTGAAGCCCTTGTGGGGTATACTCACTGGCAGGCCAGGAGGCCCTGGGAGCCCGGGCTGGCCCTGTAGAAGTAACAGAAAAGGCTCAGAAAGTGGCGTCTCCTGAGTCCCTGGCCCTCTTTACTGCAGCCCCTCCTGATCTCCAGCCCTAAATTGACCATGCTGAGACTCCAGCTGGTCACTTACCTTGACTCCAGGGATCCCCAGGGGGCCAGGCTCTCCCTTGGCTCCAGTTAAACCCTGTAGAGGAAGGAATGGGTAGGGTCAGTGACGGGCAAACCTGCTCTCTGACACATGAGGCAGGGTAGATCCAGGGGCCTTCCCTAGGTGGGGCCAGGCTCCCTTTCACCACATTCCAGGCAGTTCTAGGGGCCTCAACACCACCTCTTCCTTTTCCCCAGTTCCCACAGTAACCCTAGGAAGCAGGACAGGCTATCATCTTTTGAAAGATTGGAAACCAAGGTTTACACACTTACCATAGCCCAGGCTTTGTGCCTCCCAGTTTAGAAGTCTCTAAAGACCTCGACATACATCAGCCTACCCTTGGCAACTTTTTCTGAACCTTAATCTTCTTGTCTGCAAAATGAGCTAATTCTACTTACCTCTCTGAGTGGATGTGAACACTAGTGTGCTAGTGAAAGCAATGTGCTTTGTAAATTTTTCAGGGTGTGGATGAGTTTGGAAGGACCCAGGTAGCTGGTCACAGACCTGGTCTCAGCCCCTGAGTCAGCAAGGCAGAGGCAACTCATGGGGACCTCTGCTTCTTGCCATCCTCAGTGACAGGCCCTGGTGTATCCCCCAGTCCCATGGTGTTCCAATGCCCCTGGGACTGGCTATGTTCAAGAGCCTATGACGTTGGGAGCCCCTGGGAACTCTGTGATATCAGTCATATGATGTTTCTCTCTTGGGCTCTGCCTGGGATGAAGGATAGGGGCACAAGAGGGCAGGAGGATAGAAGAGAGACCCTGAGAATGGGCACAAGGGTAGCCCCACCCAGAGTATTCAGTCTGATACTTGGGGGCCAGAAATATGACTCTGAGTCCTGGCTGCTGCATGGACCCTGCACCCTGCAGAAACCAAAGACCCTCTCTTAACCCCCATTTGCATGTGATTCAATGCTCCTGGGGTGTGTATGGGTTCCAGTGAGGTCACAAGTCATATGAGGGCGAGAGGGGCTCATAGATGTGGATTCTCCATTTTGCTGTCCACCTCTGAACAAATACCAGAACTTGGGCTCTGAAAGTCAGTGGTCCCAGGGGTATCCTGCCTTCCCAACACTCCAGTACTCACATCAGTCCCAGGCTTCCCATCTGGCCCATCTGGTCCAGGTTTTCCGGGCTCCCCCTTAGGTCCCTTGAGACAGAGCAAACATTAGCAAGTGAGGCAAGAACTGGGAGGATCAAAGATCAAAGGGGAAAAAGCACTCACCGGAGGGCCAGGCTTTCCAGGGGCCCCTTTGTCACCCTGCAAGACAAGAGTCAGAGAGAGAGCATTCCACACCTCATGCCACTCCAAGTAGGCGCACAAATGCCCTGGCTATGCAGTCTTAATTGTTCCTCTTTGAACTATATTCTCTGTTCTGTCCCGTGTCCCCTCAGCCTTGCACTTTTTAGGAAAATATTCCCATTTCCCTCAGAAAAATCATAGGTGGATCGAGATTAACCCCAGCCGGGCTGAAGAAGGTAAAATCAACATGCAAGTAGGTTTTAGACACCTGATGTTGGTGAGGTACCAGTAATGACACCTGAAAATGGGACAGTGTCCCCAAGTTATCCCCTAAGAGCTGGTGACTCAAGGATTTGGGCAAGTGTGGAAAAAAATTGGGGGCTTTCAGAGGACTTGAAGAGGTAGTGAGTGAGATGGACAGTGGCTCTATTCTGGATTGTCAGTAAAGAAAGCAAGGTGAGGAGGTTTGGGGCCCTATGAGGGGGTATGGGAGTTGGTGAGAGGACAAGGGGTTTGTGAAGTCGCGATTCTTTCTGTTCCCAAGGCAGGAAGAACCTCTTCCACCGTGACAAAGGACCCTTGGAAGACAGGCAGGGCCTGTGGAGTCAGATCTAGCGCTGAGAGACTCCAGGCATTTCAGAGCCTGCAGCAGCCAGAGAGTTTGGCAGCGTCCTGAGTTTGGGGGGCGGGAGCCCCAGGTTGAATGGAAGTCTGTCCAGGCGGATAAACATAGAGTTGACCTCCTGGGGATGCCTCCAGAATGAGGTATTTAACCCTCACTATGCTAACGGGAGCAGAGACCAACCCCAGCTGTTTCTAAATCGGGAGGAAAAAGCAAAGGGAGAGACAGTCTGCCCCAGCTGGTCAGTGGTCTGGCCAAGGCTCCCAAGGTACCTGAAGAAGAGCCCTGGCATGCCAAGGACGGGGAGGAGAACTAAGCCGTCTCCACCTCGAAGGGAAAGGGAGGGAAGGAAAGCGGGATAAGGAGACGCTGTGAGCTGTGGCCGGCGGGCGGAACAGCAGCTTCTTGTCTGCTGCGGCTATAATGGGCTCTGCTGCTCAGGAATGGGTTGAGGTTTTTGCAAAACAAACGGGCTTCTTGTGGTGCGGGCCGGCGCCGCCTGCAGGCGACAGGGGGCACTGCTTCTCCAGTCTCCTGTCCCCTAAACCCACCCACCTCTGCCCATCACTGACAAAGCTCGCCTTTGTAGGCGGCATCCCTCCCCCTCGGGTCCCAGGTTTCAGACTCACGTCGATGCCGTCGGATCCAGGCACTCCCGGCGGTCCTGGGGGCCCCGGGGGTCCCGGCTCTCCCGGCGGCCCTCTCTGAAAACACACACAGGAGTGCAACCCTCAGTGCAGGGAACGGGGCGTCCTAGGGGCTGGCTGCAGGCGACGCCGAGAAAGGGAGCTCCGCAGACAGCCACAAACTCTCATCTACTGAGAACCTACCGTGTAGTACTGTTGAGGAAACAGGCTCAGAAAGGTTATGGGCCGTATACAGAGGAGTTCCTGGGTAGTTAACCAGGAGGGTTAACACCCTCAGCTGCTAAGCAAAAGGTTGGAGGTTCAAGTCCACCCAGAGGCACTTTGGAAGACAGGATTGGAACCTGCTTCTGAAAAATCAGTCCCTGAAAACCCTATGGAGTACAGTTTTACTCTGACACACACGGAGTAGCCCTGAGTCTGCGACAGGTTCCATGGCGACTGGAATTGGAAATGGTCACAGAGAGTAAGTGATGGAGCCCGGATTCGGTCCTAGGCCTGCTCTACTCCTTCCACGGTACCCAGCTGCCGGTGCTGCGTTCGCGTGGGGAACAGATGGATGTTGATCGCTCAGCTTCGTCAACAGGTGGTAGGGAAGGCGGTGCCTGGTATCATCACTGAATGGTAGCTCTTATTACCATTGATAATGAACGAGAAGTATAGATAGTAGTACCACCTCTCTCCTCCCTCTCTCCTCCTCTTCCACCCCTTGCAGTAAAGGCCTGGAGGGAAAGTGGAGACGCGCAGTGAAGGGACCAAAGAGTGGCAACACTGTGGCCATTTTCCCACCCAGAGAACCGCTCCCCAGCACACCGCTCCTGCGCCCTCTCTTGGGTGGCCCTCTTGTGGGGGCTAGCCCCGACCTAGACAGGGGTCCTACACCCTCCCCAGGCTGGGAAATTCCAGGCTGGCGATCCGAAAGCGAGCTGCGATCCCCACAGAGCACCAAAGGGCGCTGGGCGGGGTTTCCCACCCGCGCTCGCGTCGGCTTAGTCCTCGAAGTCACACGCGGGCGCGCGAGCCCGTTAGAGGGGTGGCCACGAGCGGGAGCGGCGTCTGGCTGGAGCCGGCGCCCCCGGGAGGCGGCGGGGGTGGAGGCTTGGAAGCCATGTGAATGGGCACCATTGTCTACCCCGCCACCTGGGCTCTCCTAGCTGCCAGCACCGGGCGCCAGCTCTTGCCCCATGCTGCCAGCCCCGGGCAAGGCCGTGCATCTCCGGACAGGGTCCCCCCGGCTCCCCGGCTCACCCACATCCTTTCATGGAGCCAAGATGTGCGCCATCAATCTCCCCACAGAGGGGCCCTGCGCCGCGGGACTGTCCCAGGCTGCGTGTTTCCCACCCCCCCGCCCCGGTTAGGAGTGTCATTAGAGGGCGGGAGACAAGGCAGAGATTCCTGGGTCCTGGGCCCGGGACCCTGGACGCCCGCGCGGGTGTGACAGTGGGACTTACGATCTGGGCCAGGGCGAGTCCGAGCACCTGGAGGAGAACAAGGAGGATGCGGGGGGCGGCCGCAGCGGCCATGGCGGGTCCGAGGGAGCACGGTGTCTGGTCCACGCACTCACCGACTACCAGAAGCTGCGAGGCTGGCCGCTCTAGGGTGAGACGGGCTGGGCCTCCAGAATAATTCAGCGGGGCGGGGCGGGGCCCTACGGGTCTGTCACCTGAGAGGGCCTCGGGGAAGGAGGCCGGCGCCCTCCGCCCAGCTCCGCCCAGCTCCGTCCAACCGCCAGCGCCCACCCTCCATCCTGTCCTTGCGCTTCCCGGAGGCCCCGGCCGGGTAATCAGGGGAGCGGGAGAGGTGCCGCACGGAAACCAACGTCCCTTTACTTCGTGAGGAGGCAGAGAGCCGTCTGGGATTCGCCTCTGGGCCTGACCTTCCTGCAGCCTGTGCCCCATCACTTGCACCCCAGTCCTCAGACATCTTGGCTTGTGAGTCCCGGCTCAGATCAGTCCAATTTCCTCCAGGGCCCAGGCAGAGCAGGCCTTGGTTCCGTAGATCACCTTCCTCCTTCCTCCTCTCCCCACAGGCTCTTTCCTCTCTACATACAAACATGCTCAAAATCAAAAGAACCAAGCTCACTGCTGTCCAGTCGATTCGACTCATAGCGACCCCTCCTTCGGTTTCTGAGGCGGTATCTCTACAGAAGTAGATTGCCCAAGCTTCCTTCGGAGGAGCGGCTCGTGGATTTGAACCACCAGCCTTCTGGTTAGCAGTCAAATACCTTAGGCACTACAATCAGAAACATAACTCAGGCCTCTTCCATATTAAAGCATACCCAAGTCCTTCCTGGGTGGGAGGTTCTCTGAACACCCACTCTATCCTTTGCTCTCCTTTTACTCCCAAACACTTTAGGGGCATTGTCTGCACCCCACCTCTAAAGTTCCTCACCTCCCTGCTTTTCCCCCAACTGGGAGGTCAGTCACCAGTGAGCCCCAACCCCTCTTCAGCCTTCCTGGCATGAGGCTGTGGTACCTCTACCCTTTCTTGGCCATTTCCTCTTTGAAGTTGTCTTCTCCATTTCCAGTCTCTTTCTTTTTCTATTGCCCTTTGTTCTCTGCTGCTTCCTAAGTACTGGTGTCTCTAGGATTGGGTCTTCTTGCTGAAGTTCTCTCAGTGAAGTGATTTCCTCCATATTCATGGAAACAACCATCACCTTACTTACCAGGGTTTCCCAAACCTTCCTGTCCACCCTAGCCTCTCTCCATAGTCCCTTACCTGTCCTTCCATTCATTTAAGCAATATTGGTAAAGCATTTTGCAATCTAACTCTGTGACCAACACCCCCCCCCAAAAAAAACCCCAAACTCATTGCCATGGAGTCCATTTAGACTCATAGTGACCCTGTAAGACAGAGTAGAACTGCCTGACAGGGTTTCCAAGGCTGTAATCTTTATGAACATCCCATGGAGCGGCTGCTGAGTTTGAACTGCTGACCTTTCAGCTAGCAGTTGAGAGCTGTAACAACTGCACCACCAGGGCTCCGACTCTGTGACCACAGGTACCTACAATTATTTAAGTCTCAGTTTCCTCATTTGTAAAACAGGTTTTAATGTTGTTGTTGTTGTTGTTATGTGCCATTGAGTCGGACCTAACTCATAGTGACCCCTTCTTGGGTTTCCAAGGCAATATCACTAAGGAAGTAGATTTCCCAACCTTCCTTCCGAGGAGTGGCTGGTGGGTTTGAACCGCCAGCCTTCTGGTTAGCAGTCAAGTGCCTTAGGCACTATGCATTTTACAACGTCTTTTTTTGGGCAAGGATCAAACAAGATCCACATTTTTGCTCAAATAATGGGTGCTGTGTGGATTTTGCAAACTGAGCAACCCTCCTGTGTTACTTTCCTAGGCTTGCTATGCATGCTATGCATGTTATATGCATGTGTGTGTTATTTATTTGAGTGCTTTATATGTGGAAAAATATGGTAATGTCTAGCCCAGCACCAGTACAGAGTAGGTACTGGATAAATTTTACTTCAATTGTGATTTATTGAGTATTCTCTTTTTACCAATTTTTCTTTGGTGAGGATTGGTAGTTAGAAAATACAGCCTTGCTGATAGAAATAATGCCGGAGGTGGCATGTTAAATTTTGCAAGACCAACAACTTAGTCATTGCAAACACTTTTTTCAAGCAACGTAAATGGTGACTATTCGTTTGGACCTCACCAATGGCATATATAGAATCAAATCAGCTACATCTGTGGAAAGAGATAACGGAGAAGTTTAATATCATCAGTCAGAATATAGTCAGGGGCTGACTGGCTTCCAGACTATCAATTGCTCCTATGCAAGTTCAAGTTGAAACTGAAGAAAATTAAAACAAGTCCTTGAAAGCCAAAGTATGATGTTGAGTACATCCCACCTGAATTTAGAGACCATCTCAAGAACATATTTGATGCATTGAACACTAATGACCAAGACCAGATGGATTATGGGATGACATCAAAGATACCACACATAGAGAAAGCTTAAGGTCATTAAGAAGACAGAAAAGAAAGAAAAGACAAAAATAGATATCAGAAGAGACTCTGAGAGCTGCACTTCAATGTAGAGTAGCTAAAGCAAAAGAAAGACATGAAGTAAAAGAGCTGAACAGAAGATTTCAAAGGGTGGCTCAAGAAGACAAAGTGAAGTATTATAATGAAATGTGCAAAGATTGGGAGTTAGAAAACAAAAAAAGGAAGAAATGCTTGGCATTTCTCAAGCTGAAAGAACTGAAGAAAAA